TTACGAAAAGGTCCGAAAAGAAGATAAAAAATCCCGAAGGCCGTATGGCTCCGACCAAGATTCGAAAAGAAAATTCAAAAAGGAAATTCAAAAAGGCACCGAAATTCCCGCGCGATGTCTGCGCGCCCAAAAGTTCGACAAAACAAAAATCAAAAGAAAGGAAAAAAGCGACGTCAACGTTTATTAATCGCGCACTTGGCGCGCACTCCAACCAAGTTTCACCCCTTTTTCCCATGCATTCCCGAATCCGCCTCCCCAACCGTCATCAGAGACTCGTGCGAAAATGAAGAGACGACGAAGAAAACAAGGACACACATGCAATTTTCCATCGACCCGTCCAATTAACATGGGACCCGCCTTTGGCACTTCGCGCAGAAAGTCGCGCACTACAGAAATTAGTTCGTCACATATGTGACGCCCAGGGGGTTCCAAAGATAAGCAAGCTCCTGCTTGCTAGCTGACGAGTCGATCACCTTCGATTGATTGGTCGTGGATGGTGGATTTCCTTCTCTGCCGCATACCGTGTGAACGAGTGTGGAAGTCATGCTGCGCGGCAGTCGTATCCCGGTTGTCGTCACCCGTAGGGAGGAGGAAAAGGAAGACAATAGGCCGGCGGAGGTGTTGATGGGGGATGAGTCGGGATAGGAGGGATGAAGCGTTCCAGGTCATCGTCCGTCTCCAGAATGCTCCGATGATGGACGATTCTATGGAAGCGGGGGAATCGGCAGCCAGTAGTGGGGAGAGAAGCGAGGTAGTCGGGATAAAGAGTGGTGAAGGTTCTAAGAAGCGCCGCGCGAAAGCGATCGCGGTCGGCGCATGCGGGGATTAACCCCGTGATGAGGCAATAAACCTCTACGGCGTTGATACGACGCCATCCTACGCTGAAAAGAAGTACATGGAGAGGGAACTCAGGGGAGGCACACCGGGCGGATGGGTGGGGATGGACTGTGACAGAGAGACGGATGGAGAAGTAATGACGGAAAGTGTCGCGGGGGAAGGGATTGTGGGGGAAGACGGTGGAACGGATGAGTTGGCGCAGGGTGAGGAAGTCAAGGGGGCGTCGAGAGAGAGCCCGAGGACAAAGACCGATCGGTCTCATCTCGACGTGCTCGAAGTGGGGGACGGGTCGCGAGGGAGGAGGAGGCGGAGGGGGAGCGGCTTCGTCGTCGGCGTCGCGGTGGGGAAGGAGGACGGCGAGCGGACGGCCCAGCCATCTGGGCCACATCGCCGTCGTCTGGCTGAGGTGGCTTCGGGTCGAGCGTTGGATCGTTGCTGATCGGAAGATCAACAACCAGCACAATTTTCAGTTGGGGCTCCTCGGCGGCATGCTCCTCGTCGTTGTCGTCACCGCTCCCTTGCTCGCTGTCTTCTTCTTCTGCTTCCTCTTCGTTCTCCGCTTGTGCGAGCTCGTCTTCTTCGTCTTCTCGCTGCTGTGCTGGCTCCCCTTCATCTTCTTTCGGATTCTCCTCCTCCTCCTCCGAACTTTCCTCCGCGAGCTCCTCACGGATTGTCTCCTCCAATTCGTCTTCGTACGGCGGTCTGTAGAAAGCGGGATCCAAGATGTCGCTTGGATCCAAATAATCCAATCGCGAAGGCGGATTTCTCGATGGGAAGCCTTCCATGCAAGCTGACCACTGAAGATACGGCAATAGCGTGCGCGAGGTGACGTGGGGCACCAAGCGCGGATCCTCCTGGGAGACGATGTTGACGTCGAGATTGTCTGCCAGCTGCGCAATCGAGACCGTAAGCTCCTGGGTGAGAAGCCTTCAACAGCCTGGACGCACTGACCCGAATAGGAAACCGAGAAGGTCACCCTCTACTTCTGTCCACCACGCCTGGATCAAAAGGATCTCCAATCGCTCAGACCGCGGATAATTTCTCTCGTCCCTCGTCCACGTCACCCGTACCTCCGTCAAGCACAGTGAAAGCTCGACGAAGTCTCTGCGCCACGTGTCCCACTGAGGTGGATCGAGAAGGGGGACAGCCAGAGGATTTATGCCGAAGGAGAGGCGGGGATGAAGATCAGACTGCCAGAAGGTGGGGAAGGAAGAAGGAAGCTCAAAAGTAAAGAGCGGGAAGGAGCTCATTGGGGATGGAAGGGGATGAGGGTGGGTAATCGCGTCGGCGGGTCTCGCCGATCCACCCGAAGGCCATCGTATCCGATCGCTCGGATTGGTATGATCACGTCTCCTTGGTGCACCAGGAGCTGGGTCCACTCGTTCTGAAGATTCTGCACCCACAGAAGCAACGCCACCTTGATGCTCGTGTGTCGGTGAGGAGGGATCGCCGTGAGATCTCCACTGAAGTTAACCACCACCGTTATCCGGCCGACGCCTGCAGATGCTCGCTGTGGCAGCCCGACAGCTTCGGCCAATATGATCGCGTCAGCCCTCCCGTCGACGTGGATTTCTGTTGCCGCGTAGACGCCTCTCGAGCAGAAGAATTGCGCGAGCCGCTGAAGATCTGGACTAAAACGAGGATGATGCACCTGCCGCAATGTCAAACTCCCACGTGCTATCAGCGCTTCTTCACTGAGAGCTCTCTCCTCCATAAAGCTCATGGCAATGGCGAGGGTGACAGCGTACCTGACAGAGATTGAGAAGGAGAAGGAGATGCAGAGGAGATAGAGTCGTCGTCGGGAGAGGTTGATGGAGAAGGAGACGGAACAGAGGGGAGAAGACGGAGATAGGACACGTGGCGTGTGATCGGGCGAGCCGATCGACTGTCGGAAACCTCGGGAGCGAGGCGCACGGTGTCAACGTTGTTGGGTCCGAGCTCAATCACTCGATACTGCCCGAAGAATCGTGGCGCTAGTTTACCCTGACGCGCACATTTCCTCACCTGCATGATGTCCCCTAACTTATACTGGGTTCTGGGACCCGCATTCCCGTTTCGGGCCTCGTAACTCCGGACCTGTCGGCCATGGGATAATTCGGTGGACTGTTGTCGCTTCCGGACAAGTCTAGGTAGGGACCGCTCCATGAGTTCCAGATGCCTCTTGGCTTTGTCCCGAGCGGTGGCCCTTGTGGGGCGTCGGTTGAGTCCTGATTCGTCCAGGAGGCTCGGAATCGAAACACACGCGACGCTATTGGTCCGTAATTGAAAGGGGCTCAGGCCTGTCGATTCGTGGGGCGTTCCGCGATGGACCGCCAAGATGTGGTCAACAATATCCGGCCAGGGTCGGGGGCCACGTGCCGCAATATTCCGTTGTAAGGCCGTTTTTATCACCCTATTCGCGTTTCCCACTAATCCGTTAGACTAGGACATATGCGGGGCCGTGTGCCGTATGGAGACACCGTGTATGACCAGGTTCCTCTCGACTTCTCCTCTAAATTCGACCCCATTGTCGGTCAGGATTTCTTCGGTATCCTAGTGCATGCTCAGAAATCGGTTGACGTACCGCGCGATTTCCGCGGCTTGTCGTGTTTTGCAGGGGTAGGCCTCGATCCACTTAGAAAAGTGGTCGACCAAAACCAGCAGAATTGAATACTCGCAGCTATTCGGGCCAGGGGGCACCACTATATCGGTAGTATCCATGCTAACCCTCTGAAACGGTCTTTCAACCATGGTGGGGACTATCGACCTAGGTGGGTTGAGTTGGGGCCTTATCAGCAGCGCAGACCTAGCAGTGTTGGACGATGAATTTAACATCATCTCGGATATTGGACCAGTACCATTGACTTTTGTCAATTGCAGCTTCGGTAATACGCACGGCAAAATGCGCCGCCGTTTCCTCGTGGGCTGTCTGCACCCAGTCGTACCGCATGAACGGGTGCGGAACTACTAACCATGCTCCACTGCCGTCTGTTTTACGCTTCTCTAACCGTTCATCCACCCATCGGTAATCCCGTGCTCTTTCATTGGCCCTCCTCCGATCCTCCTTGGAGAAGGTTTCGAGGGAGTTCCCTACCACAGTGGCTATCAAGGCAACATCTGTCCAGACTTCCGCTCTTCTAAACTTCTGGATTTTGTCGAGGCCCTCTGACGTGGCTTCGAGGAATCGGGCTTCCGTCAGAAGCTTGTCAGTGCGACATAAGGGACAGAACCAGGGTCTATCACTATTCCGATACTTTATGCACGCACCATGAGCACGTGCGACACATTTCCGACAGTCTACCCATTCGGCATATCCCATCCCCTTAGGATGCATATGAACGGAATAGACACGAGAGATTGCCTCACAGAAATAGCAAAATTTGTCGGGAAGGGAGGCGAAAGAAGAGGGTGGGGAAGAAGGAGAGGAAGTCGGATCATTACCTCCGTCACCCACTGTCCTTCACCGGCTTCTGGCCACGTGGAATAACCGCAACTTCTCCGTACTTTGGACCGTTATTGATGTCCGGGTCCTTCCACGGTGTGATCTCTTCCGCCTTTAGTACTTTACCGGATCGATGCAAACGTGTCAGTCCGTCGGCGTTGCCATGTCTCTCCGTCTTTCGATGAACAATGTCAAATTCATATTCTTGCAACCGCACCGCCCATCGTCCAATCATGCCCGTGTAATTGGTTAGCTTTTTCAGAGCCAACAGAGGTTCATGGTCGGTGACGAGCAAAAACTTCTGACCGTACAAATACGGATGGAAGTGCTGGATACCCCAAACTACCGCATAGCACTCTCCTTGTGGCGCGGAATCGTTTCGTCGCTCGTCTGGCACCGTCCGGGAMGCGTACTCAATGACATGCTCCTTCCCATCGTTTCCCTTCTGTGCCAGAATTGCCGAAATAGCCTCCGGCTGCCAGTCAGTGATGAGAATAAACTGCCGAGAGGGGTCCGGCCGAATCAGAATCGGGGCCGTGATGAGAGCATCCTTCAGGGCCCCAAAGGCCCGGTCGCACTCATCGTCCCAATGAAGGGGCTGTTCTTTTCGCAGCAGGTTTGTTAGAGGCCTTGCTATCGTCGCGAACCCCTTGATGAACCGCCGGTAATACGAGGCCAAGCTCAAGAAGGCTCGAACCTGCGTCAGTGAGGTCGGAACCAGGGCCTCCTTCACCGCCGCGACTTTTCGAGAGTCTGGCCGCAGGCCTCCACGTGTCACAACATATCCCAAGAACGAGATTTCCGGAAGGAAAAACTCGCTCTTTTCCAGCGCAATCTTGAAACCTGCGTCTCTCAAAGCACCTAGCGTCCATTCGATGTGTTGCGCGTGTCCGTGAAACGTGTCTGAGTACACCAGAATGTCATCCATATACACAATGACGCAGAAGTTGATCATCCCCTGAGTCATTCGTGTCTTGTTGACGAAATTATGAAAAGTCACGTTCATCGCTCGCTGAAACGTGGCAGGCGCATTGCAGATTCCCATCGGGCACCGAACCCACTGCCATGTGCCTTCAAACAAAACGAAGGCGGTCTTGGGCCGATCTTCTTCCTTCACCAAGATATGATGAACCCCATGCCGAATGTCGAACTTGCTGAAGTAGTTAGCGCACCCAATCGCATCAAGCAGATCATCAATCCGGGGAAGGGGATACACATTTTTAATCGTGATATCATTCAGCTTTCGATAATCGATGCATATGCGAACTGACCCGTTCTTTTTAAGAACCAATACAACGGGGAACGACCAGGGACTGGTGGCAGGCTCAATCCATCTGTTCGCCTCAAATTCCCTGATTCGCTGCAAGGCCGTCTTGCGCTCTGTTAACGAGTATCGGTACGGCTTGCAGTGGATCGGGGACTGATGGGTCTCATCAGGTACATACTGGGGCACATGCAACTCATACATTTGATCCAAAATCCAAACATTAACCTGCTTCGTATGTATACGCCGAGTGGTGTCAGGTGGTGCGGATATAAAAGAGTGATCCGATCTCCAAGAAAACACAGAGGCCACCATCTATGTTTCCTCCTCCCTGATCGTTGTATGACCTTCGGGAGTTATCCCATCGCAGATGTCTTGCCAGGGCACGTTTTTGGGCGAAATTTTGATCCCGAGTTCATTGGATCTTGCCTCGATGCGCTGAGGGGGTTCCAAAGAACCTGCTTCGGCTCCCAAACGCAACAACTGTATCTCTTTTGCGGACTGAAGCAGAGATCGAGGTAAGCCAGTGAGATCACAGAAGGAACGCTTGTCACTATCCCAAAGGAGAAGGGGAGATACGCCTTCGTACAGGGTTCGAGGGGGTTCTAAGGAATCAACCAGCCTCAAAATCTGTACGAGGGGTTCTCCCATGATCATCATATAGGCATTTCGTGAGGTTAGATGCATAGTACGCGCGATAGTGCGGGGCGGCGGGTAGTGAATCCGCTGCCGCGCTAGCCGTGTTACAACTGGGTCATCATCGTCGTCGCTCCCCGTGTCATTCGACGATTGGCCTTCGCCCATAGCTGCATTCCAGGAGACCATGCGGAGCTCCCCCCCCATTGCTTCCGGAGAAATTCGGGGTACTATCTTAACCGACATTCGAAGAGTTAGTCTCATGGGTATTACATACGGCTTTCCCCCGGTATTCCGGAGAATGACTGATCGGCGTTCGAAGTCCAAATTAGCCCGCAGCGCCACCAATGCGGGAAGTCCGAAAAGAATGTCATACGTATTCACATCCAGTACCACAACATCTCCTAAAGCATGCACTTTTCCCAAATGGAACGCGACATTTGTCATCCGTCCTACTGTCTTGATTTTCTCCTCGTCAGCCGATACGAGCTGGTCTTTTTCAGTTAGCATGATCAAATCACTCTTCCTACCCGCTCTTTCGACTACTCGGAGTGATATTGCTAGGACAGCCACTCCCGAATCTATGATCGCACTGTACGACACCCCTCAGACTTCGATATCACATTCGGCTGACTTCCACGGAATCGGCTTGATCCGAAGAAAGTGGTCATCTTTCTGTATCAATCCGACTCGGATGGGATCAGATGCGACGTCCGCCTTTTCCTCCGAAGCCGGCGCCTTCGCCTTCTGATCTTTTGCGCGTGCAAGAGCGAATCCCTTCCGGTTCGTTTTGCAGTGCTGCATCATTCGTTCATTCGCCTGTTCTGAAATGGAGAGTAGGTGGCCGATTGGGAGAGGGATTCGATGATCCAGTGCTCGGGTAACATCAAGGACATCGATTTCTCCTGTAACAAAGGTAGGACCTCCCGTCTCCATTCGACGAAGGCCGTCATTCGGCGACATCTCTGGACTCGGGTTCTGGTCGGATCGTCCCAATCATTCCCAACCCCGGATATCCTAGTGATACGTACTGCTCCAGCGGGATAAGCTCGGCCGCTTCCTCACTGAAAATCATCATTCCATTACTTCCTCCCTGATCATCCATCACGGCTCCTACACGTCCTGGGCCGTTAGCTATGGGGGCTACAGCTGCAGGCGCGGCCCCGGCTCGAGGCTGCATGGCACGATGGGGGCAATCCCGGGCCAGGTGACCTGGTTGATGACATGTAAAACAGGCATTTGTCGCTGTTCCGGCTGGCCCAGCTGCAGCCTGTGCAGCAGCCATGCCCCCCTGCATCGGTGCTCGCACCGCGATGGGTCGCATGTTCCGCATCATAGCTTCTAATCGGGCGTTGTGCTCTCGCTGTTCTTTTTTGCTTTCTTGGATTAGACTGACCAATGTTTTAGTTAGCTCCAAGATAGCAGTAGACTCACTCGCTCGTGCGGGTGGTTCGATGGGGGTTGGCGGTGGAGGTAGTGGGGTTACAGCTGGGGCCACCGTCACCTGGATCTGCCTGTTTACAATCACTCCAGGGGGTGCGGTTCTCGATGATACCTGTTCTATATACGTAACGGGTCCGGCTACGAATCCCATGTTTTCGAATTTGTTCTGCAGCGCGGCCAGTTCCGCCCTTGCTTTCACAAGCTCGGACGAATCTCCTTCTCTACCATAATCCTCATTTTCTAGAAAGCTAGCGGCAAACTTCCGCTCCATTTCTTCGGCAGCCGCCATAATTTGCTGCAGTGTGTGGTTAATAGGAGAGAAGTTTTTACATAGCTTCCCCCGAATCGTTCTGTTACGTAGCCCGTCGATGAACAAGTCTCGGCCTACCTGCTCACTCCGCTCAGTCTTCACGAACATTCGATAAAACCTGTTCCGATATTCAATAATGGATTCGAGTGGTTTCTGGACTCGATCCTTGATCATATAGAGTGCTTGTTCGGGGTGAACATAATCGAAGTGGTTCATAAAATCCCGCTTGAATGTGGGAAGATCCACCCATACATGTGCTATACCAATGATGGGCGTCCCCCCCCATCCGCGCGGGGATATTGATCTGAGCTTCATCGTTCGTATACCGCTGAGCTCGGACCGTGGCTAACCATGCTCCAGCGATATGGTGGCTGGGTCAAATAAATAAAGATCTGGTGGAGTCGCAGGGGCTCGTGCAGGTGGCACATGCGGGTTGACCGCCGCAGCGGCTGCTGCAGCAGCGGCCGCAGCCATGGCGCCTGCTCGTCTTGTGGCGGATGTTCGGCTTCGTGTAGCTAGAAGACTAAGTCGGCGTGTATCCCCGGCTGAAGGGCGCCTACGTGGAGCCAGATCGCCTTGCCTTAGCCAATATTGAGTCTACAGCCCCTATCGCTTAGCCACGTGTCGGGCTCCGATACCAACCTCACGCCCAGGAGTGCCTACGTTTGCATGATCAGGCCGCGGCGTGGGGGACGTACCCAACTCCACGCATCGATCCGAACATGCAAACGCGGCTACCCAGATAGG